AGATGGCATATAGCTAGTGAATTTCTGAGGCTGGATTTGAACTCGCTCCAGCCCCAGTGTGGCTCTATTCACTTGGCCACCTAGCTGCCTCTATCTTAACATCTAATACCAGGAATAGGGTAGTTTTCCCTTGAAAAGGTATTGAGGCCATCCTCTAGTTGTCTCAGGGGTCTAAAGGCTCAGGATATTAATTACCTGTTCTCATGAGCACCAGTAGCCATGAGGAGCTCCACATGTGCCCAGATACTTGGTTGAAGTGATGGAGCCTAATGGAGTTGCCTGAGCTGAATCAATTATCAGAGTCCTCAGTGTTGATTCTTATAGAATATTTTTCTCTTCTTCTGCTGAAGCAAATCTGCTCTTAATGGTTGAATGCCCTGGGAGGGCATTTCCAAGCCAGAACCTAAACTCCCAGATACCACCTTGAATCAGGTCCATCCCAGAACAGAAGAGGTAGCTCGTGAGGGATTTCTGAGTGAGGGAGAGTGCAGTGAGTTCAGACAGATTTTTCAAGGAATTTGGCTAAGAAAAGGAGGCGAGAGAGAGTGATAGTTCAAGGGCTGGTGAGGGTCCGTTATGGATGGAGGAGACAGATGTATTTGAAGGCAGCAGGAAATGAATCATCTGATAAAGGTTGAAAATTTGAGAGAATGGGGAGATGACTGAGGGTACAAACTGTTGGAAAAGACATTTTGGCCACATAATGAGAAGACAGGATTCATTGGAAAACACTTTGATGTTGGGAAAGATCGAAGGTAAAAGGACAAGGGGATGCCAGAGGATGATATGGATAGATGGTGTCATGGAAACAATGGGATCAAATGCCCATGTAGATGGTTGGGCTTGACAAAGACAAGGGCTACCTCTTTGTGAGAGCCTGGAGGAAAGAAGCTACTAGAAGATGACATGAAGGGATTTTGACATGGAGGGAATGGGAGTATTGAGTTATTCAGTAAATATTTAAGTGCCTACTATGTGCCAGGAAATATCCAACTGTCTGAGCGTGTAGCACAACTCACAGCTCGAATGCAGAGTATGAGGATTCGGGAAAGCACAGAAGGAGCCAATCTCCAGGGACGAGTCGCCTTCCCACATGGGGTCAAGTGAAAGCTCTCTCATCGAGCCATGGACTTAGTAAAGGAACAGGGAAAACCAAGGGTAGCTTTACTTTCTGTTCAAGTGTGTAATGTACAGAGTGCTCAGCACTGGACTTATATTCCTTTTCCACCCTGGTTGCAACCCCTCACATATAGGGACAAATTGGGGACTACATATACTAATAACACCCGCATATTCAGAGGCCAAGAATACCCCTTCCTCCAGGACAGAACCAACGTTACAACTACCCTCAGATCTCTAGCATCCAGGACGCCTATACATTTTTTCAAAATTTAGCAACAATACTGAGCTCTGTCTTTCTCTTGCTGCATCATCTTTTAACAGCAGTTCATCTAATGGATATGTAAATTTTACTCAATCTAACACTACTTTTGAATAGAATGTTACTTGTGCCAATTGTACTCTCAGACAACGTATTGATAATAATGACTATATTGTACTCTTGGTAGAACAACCATCATTTGCTATTTTCCCTACTAATATTTCACATGAATGGTTTCAAAACTCTGGAGAACATGGTCTTCAAATTATTCCTTCCCCTTTAGCCCGTTCAAAACAATTTATTGATCCCCTTATTACAGGACTAACCACTGTTGTTTCTCTAAGTGTATCCACTACTGTTTCTCTATCGTGCTACAATCTGAAATTCAAACTGCATGATTTGTAAGTGACTTAGCAAAAAATATGTTTAGCACTTAAAGCACAAGAAGCTATTGATAGAGATACATTGTATGAAGTCAATTTATTAGAGCAATCAGTATTGTATTCAGGAGATGAGTTAGAAACCTTGAAAACAAGGTTGCTATTGCAATGTGATTATAGATATTCATATATTTATGTTACCCCGCTATCCTATAATGCTTCAGATCCTAATATCTCATGAGAAAAGATATGTGCCCACCTATTGGGGGCCTGGCACGATTCTAATATTACCCTCAATATTAATACCCTTCATGGTATTACTTCCAACATTTGAAAAGTGTCCCTGTCTTGGGATTTACCCCAATAAAATAGCTTATATTATCCTGTCTGCGTCACACCAACTTTCACCCTTTTCAAGTATATCCTTGCTTTTGCATATGCTCCCCTATGGAATTGGCCTAATTTGTTTTTATTTTTGTTTCCCATTTCTTTTTAGATTCATATCAGCAGCCATTAAACCAATCATAAGTCTGTTACTCGAACTTAAATCAACAAACAAAAAAGGGGGAGATGTTGGAAGCCAAGTCCTCATGGAAAATCTCTAAGTCCTTATAGACTTAAGGGGTCAGTATTATAGAGGCTTGCCTCGGGATAAACACTCCCTTGACTCTTGCCCCAATTCCATTTGTTATAGTTTCTTCATTCTAAGTTCTCACTCCTGATCAGCCTTGAGGCCAGGTGGATGACTCAGGCAGGTAATGCTAAGAACTGGGCAGGGAAACAATAGATATGAATTTTGGCATTAAAACTACTTTCTCGTGAGAAAATGAGGATCTTTAGCTTAGTTTGTGTATGTTATTAATTAGTGCTTGTGGATCATTTCTCATGGTACAAAGCTGTTTTTCTATGGGTATATAATCAGAAAACTCCTGAAATAAACTAGTGTTGAGCATTAACCTCTAAGACTCAGCTAGCCGGACTTTTCTTTCTCCATTTCCCTTCCCCGTTTCCTCACCCTTCTGTCCTGCACCACGCCAGCTGCTGGCAGGAGGGGGTTTTGGTGACTGGTTTTTGTTTTTAGTTATTGTTTGTTGTTGTTGCTCAGCTGTTCAGCCCTTCAATCCAAGGGGCAGAAGCAGCTGAGTGAGAGTCCCAAAGCTGATATGATCTTTTCCTGGGTGTGGGGGAGGGGGCAGGGTATTGGATGAGGATGGTTATCATTCTCTCTTTATCTCATTATGTCCCTCACAAAGTTTGCCCTGAGAAGTCTCTGAGTACAGTTCATTCTCAGGTTTCTACATAGTTGAAGAGCAGGTTCTCCAAATAGAATGATATCTGAAGGAAGCTAGAAACCATTGCCAGAGACAAAGAAACTGACAGCCAGTAACTGTGGGTATGTTGTTTTCCTCACTGTTCTGGAGTGGGGTGACTGACAGCTTGCAAAGTCTTTCATATACTCTCCCTCATTTGAAAGGACACTGAAGCTGAGAACATATCAGAAATCGTCTAGGCCAAATGTCTCAATGGTCAAATCAAAGCCATAGTGCCAGCACATTGAGCTCCCTCCTGGAACCATATTCCAGTCTTTGGGCCCATTGCACCAAGGGCTGAGGTCAGATTGACCTCCTTGTGGTAGGCTTTCTCATTCCCCAAGCTTGTTGCCCATAATTTGGGCATTTGTTCAGACATCTGAGGACAGAGTTGTTAGTACTGACTCCTTTTTTGAATTTTCTCCAAAATTTGGGAACTTTGAGGTGTCTCTACCTGCTCTGTTTTCTAGCTTAGTAGACAGACAGATACAGGCGGTTTTCCCTCCCCACTCCTTTCGAACAGACATGCAAGCCTCCCAAATATATTCACTTTTCTTCCAATCCAAAGGTCAAAGGGGTAGGCAGGTAAGGAAATAAAAACCAAGTGACCGTCCTCCCCTTCTCTGACCCACTTATCTGCTTTCTTTTCGCTGATGGTGGTGGTGGTGGCCGCAGCCCAGTAGCAGTAGCAGAAACAGTAGCAGTAGCAACAGCAGCAGGAGAAACAGTAACAAAAGCCACATTAGCAAAGTACGTTATGATGTTATCTCCTTCTACAGGCACAGCCAGCCTGGGAGGTATGTGCTATTATTATCCTCATTTTACAGATGAAGAAACTGAGGCAGGCAGTGGTGAAGTGACTTGCCCAAGTTCACAAGGCTAGCTAGGAAGTATTTGAGGCTGGATTCGAACTCAGGTCTTCCCGATTCCAGGTCCAGTTCTCTGTTGTTAGTACCCTCCTCAGAGAGAACAGGAGCTCCTTGGAGGTCAGGGGCTGTCTGTCTCTTTCATTTGTCTTTGTCTTCCCAAAGTGAAGGGTGCCCAAGGGTGCCCTTGTAATGTCTGGCTACCTCACACTAGCTGTTCCGGGGTGGGGGTGGGGGGCCGATGTTAGTTAGGCTAACCCTAACCCTAACCCTCAGCTGCTCCTCCCCACGGAACAAGATGCACCTCCCAGGTGAAGCTCATCTTCTCACCAAGCTTTAATTGACACCACCTCCCCCCTCGGATTGGAGGGCTGGAGGGTGCAGCTCCAAACGCTTCACCTCAGAACAAGGCGCCCCGAGCCGAATACCCCCCCTCCCCTCCTAAAAAAAAAAACCCAAAACCCTTTTATTAGTTGTATCCCCAAAACTCAGCACAGTGCCTGGTACTCAGAAGGCTCTTCCTAATTGTTTATGCAATTGGATTCGTGCTTAAGAAATGCATAGTATGGGACAGCTAAACGGCGCAGTGGAGAGTGCACTGGCTCTGGAGTCAGGACCAGAGTTCAAATTCGGCCTCAGACACATAACACTAGCTATGTGACTCTGGGCAAGTCACTTGACCCCAATTGCCTCCCCCCCAAAAAATGCATAGTAGGTGAGGGTCCATTGACCACAGCGGCCTCTCCCAGTGCCCAATCTTTGTTCACCAAGGCCTGGGAGCTCCCCGCAGACATTGATTGGTCCTTTTCCAAAAGGGAGGCGGGGCTTTCTGCCACCCGCCCTTCCAATGCCTCCGCTTAAAGTTGAAATGACAGAGGGGCGGAGTCTCCTAGGAGCTCCCACACTCGCTCTCCCATTGGTCAGAATGGAAGCGAATTCCCGCCCCAAAGGAATACGGGACGTGGCGCGGAGAGTGATCGCAGCTCTAATTGGCTGAGCCGGCGAGGCGAGGGCAGGTCCCGGGTCACGAGTTCAAAAGGAGGCGTGATCGAGGGTGAACACAAACCGCACAAGAACCGGAACCTGAGCCGGCCGGGGCGGGATGGCGGCGGCGGCGGCGGGCGGCCTGGGCCCGGGCTCTGGCTTGGGCTGGACGGCCGCGATCCGGCGGCTGCTGCGACAGTTCAGCTCCTCCCAGAGGCCAGGTCTGGGGCCGGGCCGGACGGGACTGGGGGGACTCCGGGGGACCCCAGGGCTACCTGGGCTGAGGTCGGTGGGTCCCAGGCGACTGTCTGCTGCCCTTTGGGGTCAGAGACCAGGGCTCCCAACTGCGAGCCTGGCGCTGGCTCTGAGTTCGGGGGTCCCTGGGCCCTAGCTGCCCTTAAGCAGCCTTTTGCCTTCTTCCTCCTCCCCCCCTCCTCCACCTCTCCTCCTCTTCCTCCTCCTCCCCCCACCTCTCCTCTTTCTCCTGCCTCCTCTCACTGGCCCACCTGCCCACCCACAGGGTCCTCGGGGTTTCAGTGCCTCCCACTGGTGATAGAAGGCCAGCAGGTGGGACTGGTGGTGCCAGCTGTTGCCCGAGAATTGCGAGCCTTTCCTGATGTGTTCGTGGAGGTGGCAGGGGGCCTGGAGCTTCGAGGGGGTCATTGCCCCGAGGAGCGCACCGAGGCTGTGGCGGGGGTCCTGGCACAGCTGCGGGCCCAGGGTCGCCTGGCAAGGCTGGGGAGGTGGCGAGATGAGGTGAGTGCCCTGAAAGTGCGGACAGTTGGGGTGCCATGTCGGGCCTATCTCACTCTAATCCCCCATCCCTCTTCTGGGGCAGGTATATGAGGTGCGGCCCAGTTTTGGAGCCCCAGCCTTACTGAACGTAGAGCGAGCAGCAGCCCGTGAGTGCCTCCCCCCGTCAGGTCCCCTCTATCCTTCAGGCCATGAAAAGGCAATGAAAGTGGGGAGAGGTTGGAAAAGAACAGGCTGCTGGCCCAGGATCCCTGGAGCTGGTGGGGGTGCTGGCCCTGGGGTCCTGGGTTAGGAATCCTTGGCTCTCTCCTTCCTCTCTTTTCACAGCCTTGCTGGGAGTCCTCCAGTTCGGGGCGCATCTCAATGCCTTCGTGCGACGTCAAGGTGATGCAGCAGGGTCCCAGGAGATGCTCATGTGGCTGGCAAGGCGGTCCCCTCACAAGGCCACCTACCCAGGCCTGCTGGACAACCTGGTATAGCCCCACCAAGGCCCGCTGCCCTCCCTCCATTCTGTATGCCCCTCAGGCTCTCTGGTTCCCTGTAGGCCCCTTGTCCTGAGGTTCTCTCTCCAGCCCAGGCCTTGGAGGCAGGAGGAATCTCAGAGCCCAGTCACTTTGGCTCTATGTGACCCTGGGGACTCACATGACTTTTCTGGCCTCAATTTCCTCATCTGGAATCGGGAATAAGAATAGAATCAACCACTAAGGGTTGTTTTGCCATTTAAGTTCTGACTTCATGGTGATTATGACAAGTAACAGGAGGCTTGGCTCTAAGTAGAGCAGGCAGGACCTCCAGGGTGCCCTGACTCAGGGCCTCGCCTGTCTCCCCGTCAGGCAGCAGGAGGCATAAGTGCTGGGCTAGGCATCAAGGAAACCATGGTGAAGGAGAGCTGGGAAGAGGCCCGGATGCCCCCCGAGCTGGCATCCAGGGCCCAGCCTGTGGGCTGTCTCAGGTAAGAGCAGTACCACCAGGCTTGTGGGCAGAGGGTCACTGTGGCCAGCCCCCAGCCTTGCCTGACAGCCTCTCTCCTCTCTCTCCTTTCTCGGCCGGCTTCAGCTATACCTATGAGGAGATGGATGGGGAAGAGTTTGGGGCTGTGGTTCGAGAATGCCTGTTTATCTTTGACCTAGAAATGCCTGAAGACTTCACACCCCAAGTGGGAGATGGGGAAGCGCAGGAATTCTACCTCTGGCCCCTGGATGAGGTCAGAGCCAGCCTTGGGGTGTGGTGGCAGTGGGCAGGCAGGAGTCCGAGGCTCACAAGCCTGTTCACTTCTTGCCCCCAGGTCAGGGAAGCTGTGAATTCTGGTAGATTCAAGCCCAATTGTGCCCTGGTGGTGGTGGACTTCCTGCTCAGACACGGCCTGCTGCATCCAGACGAGGGTAAGGAGGAAGGACAGGAGGGCACACGTTGGCCTGAGCCGGGCTGTAGGCCCCTGACCAGACCTCTTCTGTTGCTGCTTCACCCTTCCCAGAGCCCTTGTACCCAGAGCTCGTGGCAGTGATGCACCAGACCCTGTGAGCCATGGCCAGGACACCAGCAGTTGGCAGGAGCAGGGAAGAGGGACGAAAGCCCAGAGGTGGGGCGCTTCTTCTGGTTTTACAGAAAGGGGTTGAGGAACCTTCTGCCCTCCTGCAGAAGGCAAGGATGGCAGCTTCCCAATGAAAGGCATGAGAGAGTCAAGGCAGAACTGGGCTCAGAAGGGTCCTCCCAGATCCAGGTGTCTGCCCTTGGACATACAGGAATCCAAAGAAGGGGGGCAGCTGGATGGCGCAGTGGATAGAGCACCAGCCCTGGATTCAGGAAGACCCGAGTTCAAATCTGACCTCAGACACTTGATGCTTAACTAGCTGTGTGACCCTGGGCAAGTCACTTTACCCCATTGCCTCACCAAACAAACAAAAAAAGAGGAATCCACAGAAGGAGGTGGATGCTTGCAGCCTTTGGCCCCCAGTGATGAGGCCTGGAAGGAAAGGAAGATTTGGGACATGGGTACAGCAAGACGCAGTGATTTTTCTCCCAGGGCAGAGACTGGAACTTTCTTAACTACAGCCTCCAAAAGATGATGAAGTGAGGGGTTTGAGCCCACAGGTACAGAAAGAGAGTCACAGACATCCTTCTTTCAACCTTTCCCCCTTTGCCTTTACCCTGAAAGGGTCAAGTTAATGAAAGGGTCACTGGCCCCTCCTCAGCTTCTCTCCCAAGGTCTGGTCTATGTCCCTTCTGCCTTCAGGCCCCACACCCTTCACCTTGGCAACTAAGGGGCACCACAGTGCACAGAGCACTGGACCTGGAATTGAGAAGACCAGAATTCAAATCCAGCCTCACACACTAACTGGGCAACCCCAGACAAGTCACTTAATTTTCCTGTGTCTCAATTTCCTCAGCTGTGAACTGGAGGTAATAATGACACATGCCTCCCAGGGCTGTTGTGAGGATCTGATAAGATGATATTTGTAAAGAGCTTGGCCAGTGCCTAGCACACGTCCAGTGATATATAAATGTTTCTTCCCTTCCCTTAGTCCTCCAAATCTTAATAAATTTCCCAAAACCCCATCTCTGATTACTGATCCTTTCCTCCTGCAATTACTGGGCCTTGGGTAGAAAAAAATGGGCTCAGGGCAGCTAGGTGGTGCAGTGGATAGAGCACTGGCCCTGGAGTCAGGAGGACCTGAGTTCAAATCTGGCCTCAGACCAGACACTTGACACTTAATAGCTGTGTAACCTTGGGCAAGTCACTTAACCCCAATTGCCTAAAACAAATAAAAATAAATTTTAAAAAAAAGTGAGGATGAAAATAATTTTAAAAAGAAAAAAATGGGCTCCACAGGCCTCGGCTACTTGCCCCAGTCCTTCCTCGCCCCCTGGCAAAGTTTCGTGATGCCCTGTTCTTGCCTGTGCATCATCTAGGACTTATGCAAAGGAAGGACCCCCAACATGCTGGAGGGAGCCTCACAGAGGACTAGCCAGAGATCCCCCAGGAATGGACTGGGACCTATACTCTGGTAGGGGAGGAGTGGAGTTACCCAAAGACCCATCAGTGATTATTTGGAGTATTTACAGGAAAGGGGGGAAATATCAGTGCAAAAATAACACTCCAGGAGCAGAAGGTCAATTAACTTTAATGAACAAGTATTTGTTAGGTGCCTACTGTGTGCAAGGTGCTCTAAAACACAGCAGATATGACAGTTCCTGCCTTCTGTGAGCTTACAATCTAGTTGAGGGAATAAAATGTTTATGGGAATCTGAATGATACAGAGTAGATCAGACAGGAAAATTAGTGCATATGAAGAAAGTGGACTACGTCACTAGATGGCACCCTCTGGACCTGGCCAGTTGGTCTTCTTGCAGCCAGAGTCCTGTCTACCTGGACTCTGGACCGAGCTGGTTGGCTCTTCTCCCATTTTTCCAATGGTCATTGGTATTGTAGCTGACATCTCATGCCTGTTAAAAGGTAATCTGCCTCATGCCTTCTTCCTCTTCTAAAGAGAAAGTCAGAGAGATAGAAAATGAAGGGTCTCTGCCCCCGCCCCTGATGGGGGCACTTTTAGAGTTACAGTTCCCTGAACCACAGGATGGTGAAACTGGAGAGCTTAGGGGCTCAGTTCTTTGAGCCCAACCATCCCCCCAAAGACCCCCTTGAAGCCATGGGGGGGCCCACGGTGGGAGGCCCACCATCTCTTGGGACCACATCTGACTTTGGGGAAGTTCTTCCTGACTTTGAGCCTAAACCAGCCTCCTTGCAACCGCCACTGCCCTTTAAATCCTTGGAGACAGCTGCCATGTCCCAAAGAGTCGCTGTTTTAATCTCAACAGCCTCACTTCCTTCAACCCATCCCCATCCGCCATGGCCTTGAGCCTTTACCACATCAGTAGCTCTCCTCAGAAGGAGTTGATCTGTGTCCATATGAAACCATGGTGCTCAGAACTGCCCCCAAGGCTCCAACTGGGCTCTTAGGATGGTGGGGTAGGGAGGGGCCGTGGAATGTCACCTTCCCATTCACAGAAGCTCAGCCCAAATCCCCTCGATTTGTCGCCCTACCTTATCCCACTGCTGACTCCTGGAGCTTACAGTCCACTCAAATCCCCAGATCTTTTTCAGAACAACTGCTAACTATGCCCTTCCCCCATTTGATACTTGTGAGGTTAATTTTTTTTTGTACTCCAGTGCAAGACTTTGCATTTGGCCTAGTTGACTTTTTACTGATTCAAGCCAGTGCTTGAGCATGTGAAGACTATCCAGTGGATTGTTCCTTTTGCCCCAAGCTCAGTATTGTCTTCCATCTCTAGCTTTGTCCAAATCCTTAATAAAAGTGTTGAATAACATAAGAGCAAGTGCAAATCCCCAAGGTATTCCCCTAAGGACCCCTGCCCATGTTGGCATTGAGTCATTAACAACTTCTCCTCGACTCCATCACCCAACCAGGTCTAAATCCATCTGACCGTGTTATTGTCTAATCCAGGGGTGGAGAACACATGGCCCTCTAGATCCTCAAGTGTGGCCCTTTGAATCCAAACTTCCTTTTATTAAGGGGATTTGTTCTGTGAAGCTTGGATTCAGTCAAAGGGCTGCACTTGAGGATCTAGAGGGCCACATGTGGACTTGAGGCCACAGGTTCTAATCCATGTCTTTCCACCTTCTCCGTGAGAATAGTATGACACACTCTCTCCCCTCAGAACAGATGTCAGCCCAGCTCCTGGGGCACTCCCAATGCTCACATAAAGACACGTCCATCTTTTCTTGGGGTGAGTCAGGCAAGAGTCCTTTGGAACTCAGAGGCTCCCGGGTCCTGAATAGTCTAGGCATGATGTGTGAGAGGTGAGCAGATGGCCCTCTCTGGTTCTCCTGCCTGTCTGCTTGCTCCTCTGTCTCATTGGCTCACTCATCATCCCCTGTTCCTAAATGTGGGTGTCTCCAAGGCTGTTCTAGGGCCTCCTAGGATCATAGAGCGATAGCTGGGGAAGAGCTTCAGGAGCAAGGGATTTTTAACCTTGAATCTGCAAGCTTGGATGGGGAGTAAACGCTTTTGTTTTCACTCATCTCTCTCCAATATTTACTTCGCTTATGGATTAAAAAAGCAACATAACTTTGAGGAAGGATCCACAGATTGCAGCTGACTGCCTGACACCAAAAAGGTGCACTCCTGCCCTGGCCTGCCTAGGCCAACTCTCTCATCTCACTGGTGATGGGAGTCAAGGGTCAGTCACTCACCCAAAGTCAAGCAGGCATCAAGTAACTACCAGGTTCAAAGCCAAGTCACCTGCCTTTGCATCTAGTGCCCTTTCCACTTTGCTGCATTTTTCTTCTTTCCTCACCCTCCTTCTGGTCCATGGGGTAAGTTATTAGCAAGATGAAAGTGACTCCCAGGCCTGTGTGTCCCACTGGTCAGTTAGCCAACAAGCGTTTATTAAATGCCTACTATGTGCCAGATGCTAAACACTGGGACTACAACTACAAGCAAAAAGGGGAGCTGAATGGGTGGGTAGAGAAAGTGCCAGGGAGATAAGTCAGCAGGACAACCAGGAGAGGGTTGTCAGCATCTTTGACCTGGGGCTTCTCCTTAAACCTGATCTTCTGAAATGAACCAGCCAATCACGAGGAGCAGCCTCAGGGCTCTTCCAATGAGAGATGTTTTCCAGGGGTGGAGTGAAGATTGGAGTTGCCAGGGGAAAGAAGTTTCTATGGCTTGGCAGAGAAAGACCTGGGCAACCTGGAGAGGCATGAAATCACTGTTCTGGGGCTCATGTATTAAATGGGAGGGTCAGATGTCCTTTCACCTGACAGGCTTAGCTTATTATATCCTTGCTATGCTCCAGTTATCCTGGGTCCTCTCCCTGGCCCCTTCTTAGTTCCTATCTAGCTGCCTGGGTTTCCTTTCATGGCTCAGACCCAAAATGCCAAATCCTAATGACCTTTGATGATGCCTTTATAGAAACAACAAAATCATTGATTCTGACAGGTCTCTTTAACAGGGCATTTCAATTTTCCATTTAGGTGCCTACAATGTCCCCAGTGCTGCGCTAGGTCCTGGAGATAAAAAGCCAAGTGAAACAACCCTCAATGCCCTAAGTAGTGACATAATAAATGCAAAGCCAATTCAACATCACTGGCCATTGGGAGAATCAGAGAGTCTCAAGCAAGATCTGTCCCTGAGACAGAACCCTGAAGGGAACTTGACATTCCAGAAGGTCTATGGGCAGAGGGAGAGAGCTGAAGGTGTGGGGCCGGTCGGCAGAAGCACAAAGGGAGAGTCTAAGATGGTGGACTGATTGGGCTGGAATGCTGTGTGACAGAGGAATCAGTGGGATCATGAAGTGTTTTATATTGAGGAGGAGAGTGACATGGTCTGGCTAGATTGGAGTGGAGAGCAACTGGAGGCAAGTGGACCAATGAGAACACCTGGGTAGTCAGTGTTGCAAAAACGAAATTACCACCTGGATTTAAGAACGTGGAAAAAGGTTGGACATGGGAGAGCACGGAGATAGTGAGGAGTCAAGGCTGAAACCCCAGGAACTGGGAGGATGGTGGTGACTCCACAGTAATAGGAAAGGCAGGAGTGGGGCAGGAGGAAGGGTTAGGAAGAAAGAAAATCAGCTCTGCTTTGGACATACTGAGTGGAAGACGTCCACTGGGCATCCACTTGGAGATGTCTGAAAGGCAGTTGGACGTGCACAATTGGAAGCCAACTGAGAGACTGGGGTAGGACTGAAGATTTGAGAATCTTCACTATAGAGATGGTCATTAACTTCCATAAGTCAATGAACATAAAGCAAGTCAATGAAAGGCAAAGTGCCTACAGCTCATCTATAAGACACTAATGCTCACCAGTTT